AGCAAATTCGTAGAGCCTGTTGATGCCATCCCTGTTAACGTGGATCTCCCTGATGCACGTGGCCCCGAAGACATCCCATCGTATGTCATCCAGCCCACTTCATCTTGTGCTCAGGTGGTGGAGATCCTCCAGACCACATCTAGGGCATAGGGGACAATCTCCTCTGCCAATTCTAGCCAGATATGACGCAAAGGGCCAGTGTCCGGTAATAAGACCTCTGCCAGCTTCTTCGTCGGCTGTCGGAAAAGGGCTCTTGTGTGGCTGGCGCCATTACCATGCCACCATCTCTTCACGATCCCCTTCCCCGCCCGTTTGCGGTTGTGCTCCTTGATATGGTCCAGCTGCACGCCAAGATGGCCTTCTCTAGCGTGTAGCGCCGGCTTCTTCTCTTCGCTAGCTCATCAGCTTTCGATTGCCCAAGCTGCCAGCGCAGCTAAGACTCCACATCCCCTTCAGCTGATTGTTCTCAGCTACTTCCTCCATCAGCCCGATGCATTCGCCTGCCAGCTGCGAGTTGCACACTTGCTTGCGCATCAGCCCTAGCGCACCTCTGCTATCGAAGCAGATGTATATCTTCTTGCCCCTGTCGCGCCTTCACAGTATCAGTCTGGCACAGACCCTCAGTGCGGCAAGCTTTGTCTGGAGTATGGGGGCATGCGGGGCCACTCCAATGGCTCTACTAGAAGAGGGCCCACTGGACGACACTCCTGCCCCAGCTGGTCATATCCTTTGGAGCTGTGTGTACCAGACCTTGGGTGATGCCCACTCTATGTTATGCCCGGTTCGGTCTGCTCCGTGTCCAAAGCTTATCTTGAAGCTCATTTTTTGCGACATGGAGATGGCACCCTGTGGTTTGGAACCGGAGGACCTAGGTCTCTTGGACTCGGTCCACCGTTCCTCCTCAATCCCCGACTGCTGCTAAGGGGACAGTTCCCACTTGGCCTCGGCCTCCAGCCTGGCTTTGCAGGCCCTACGTTTCTCCGCTTTGGTACGCCCTTTGCGTTTTATTATGGGGGCCTTGCCGGTCGCCGCCGTGGCGGGTCTCGGCTCCTCCTCCTGTATGCCCTCGTCCATGGGCTCATGGCAGCTTGTGCTGCCTCCGACATTCTCTCCGGGAGGGCACCGTCTGTGGCGTAGGTTTTTTTTATCTGTGGTTTTCATATAAGTCCCACGAGCAATCAGGAAAAAAACAGTCCATTCCCGCAGAGCCTGATTGCGCGAATAAGGCCAATTGATACAATGGGGTGCTGTCTGGTTCCCCAAAGGCATCGTTAGAGACACTGAAACCCCAGTATCATTCAGCCATCGGTACGATTGCTTCCACCTTAGTTGGGGGGGTTTGTCTGCGATGCAGCTTTAGGATTTTCTTTCGGGTTTTACGCCATCGATTACCCCTGTGACTGCTGCTAACCAGGTTTCTGAAGAAGTCTGCGGGTCCCGTCCTCAGGTGCCTCGCAGCCCCCTGTTTCCAGGACCGTTCAGCTCGACCGTCCTTTTGGCCTTTCCCCTATCCGCCACTTGAGGACGCACCATGTTCGGCACTCAAGAGGTCCCTCTCGTCCCGTTTATAGGGCGCGTTGACGGCCCTCTGACGAGAGTCACCTTGACAGACATGAAGCCATCCCTGGAATACTCGAGCTGCCGCCAGGAGTGATTGAGCATCTAGTAACTTGAAAATAGTCTGCGTCACGTCAACTGGCAAATTCGCAATAGGATCTCTCTTAGACTTGCCGACACCGAAAGGTCGCATAAGCTTTCCAAAGAATCCCATGTTGCTGCTACTAGAAGAAGTTGTAGAATGAAAGCTTGTGATGAGACAGAATTGTGCGGCACCCCCCCCCCCCTCTCCACTGCCACCTGATTAATACATCTTATTTTTTCTTAAGCTACGTTAAATATAAGTTAATCCTTTTGTCGCCGTTGGACAATCCATCCCCAGATATTCCTTACCCCCGCCCCTACTTCTCCTCGCCATAGCACTCACGCCTCAAGGAAGAGGACCCCACGTGATCCCGGAAGAAAGGGACATCCTTCGAGCGACTCCCCCCTGTCGAAAGAAGAAAAAGGACACACAATCACGAATACCCTCGATTAACACGGATTATCGCCGTAATCGGGAGGCAGAGGTGAGGATGATTGGAAGAAATCACTCGTGCCACACCTGCCCCACGAGTCACTGCCCCATAAAGTAAGAGAGTTGCCCCGAAGTGATCCTGTGAAGAGACCCTGTTAAGAGGCTCTGTGAAGAGACCCTTTGAAGCGACCCGGTGAAGAGGCATTGGTATGAGACCTACTGTGAGAACTATTGAGGAACTATTGTGGAGGATTTTCGTGTGTGAGAGAAACTATTGGAAAGATTGTGAGGAGGAGAACTATTGTGGAGAGGATACACGGAGAGAGCGGAGAGAGAGAGAAAGAAGGAAGGAGGCAAAAGCCCAGAGGAAAACCGAAAGAATTCTGAGGACATCATTCCCCGTGAGTGCCCCATTTTTATTCCCTGTCCCAACGAGTTTCCCGGCCCCTGAATACAATTTCTCCCCAACGGTGAGCCTCCATTACATTAATTTTCT